AGAACATCTGGAGGCCCAAGGTTGGGGACCGCTGAGCTACAGGACAGGTCCAGAAGCCATCAGTATTCAATAAATAGCTGGGGACTCAAGGCTGGGGGCCACTGGTTTAGACCACTTCTTGATCCAATTCTTCTCTGATACTTAGGAACAAGTCAAGCCAACAGAGATTCATGGGTACGTGTTGATATTCCAGGTCTCAATTTGGAATAATGGCAGATGAGTGTGGTCAATCTTTTCTTTGATCCTTTCCAACATATGTAAGTTCCACACAGAAATGTACAATGGTGCCTCGCTTAGCGACATTAATCCGTTCTGGAAAAAACATTGCTAAGCGATTTCATCGCTAAGCAATATTTAAAAGCCCATAGAAATGCATTAAAATGAGATTAATGCATTCCTACGGGCTTTAAAACTCACCTTTAACCGAAAATCCTCCATAGCGCTGTCATTTTCGCTGCCTCTTAAGCGAGGAAAAACAGCGGGCTGCCATTTTGTTTTCCTGGTGGCCATTTAGAAACCGCCAATCAGCTGTTAAAAAAAGGGTCGCTTTGTCATGATCGCTTCCCCGCGATCATCACAAAGCGAAAAAAACCCATAGGGACCATCACAAAGCGATTTTGTCTGTCGCTAAGTGATTTTGTCACTCAACGGAGCAATCGCTATGCGACGCACCACGGTATTTCCAAGACATGAGAAGCTAAGCCAAGGATTTCCCCTTGGACCTTGCTTGAAGGTTTAGGAAGCATCGTTAGAATGATCTGACTGGATCTGGTGGATTTAGGTGATGCTTCTAATGGGGAGATACATGAGAGCGACCACCAGGAGGCAGTGTGTTTTGGTGATGGACAACAACTTGGGGCCATTTCACTAGATAACCTGCAATATGAGAAAAAAATAGAATTAAAAACAGAGGCACACACATTATGAATATTTTCTCCTTCTTCAACATTTTTCTTGGTTTTCTATTTCCTTGGAAATAGCCAAAAAAACATTCCTCCTGGGAAGGACCAGGTTTCCCCAAATCCATTGCCATGCATTACACAACACTGTGGCATCCCACCCCCCCATCGTTCTCCTACCAACATTTCCCAAGATGACTTCATTGGGATGAGCATGGCATGATTCCCAGCATCAGGGAGAATAACAGCCAGAGGTGGGGTGGAAGTTGCATTTTTAGAGCTGCTTTCTGCCGAAAGAAGCTTGAGCGGCTCGGAGCACCCTGTAATTAGGCGAAGAGTGGTTTTCTTTTGGCACACAGAATGTTATTATTTTTAATGGTATAATTGTTGGATTCAACACCCTACTTAATGAACGGCAGTTCAGTTCTTTGAAGTCAAGGGGGGAAGAATTAGGTCTCTATCTTGAGATCACACCAAACAATTCACTGTGGTGGATTCTATTTGATTTAAATTAAAAAGAAGTTGAAGACTAATCTTGCAACTGTGCATTCTTTTAATTCACACCTGTGATTTATGGA